GCCATAGAACTCAAAAAGGGTGCACTTTCTTTTTCACACGACTGTAACTCTGTCACTGAAGTATTTCTGATATTTATTTATTTATAAGCATTGTCACATGAGGCTACAAATCTGTGGACTGCTATAAGGTAGTATGTTTCCATCAACAATTTGGAGCATGTCCACCCTTCCTTAATATTCAGCCCTGGGCTATAAAACAACACCTAAGTCAAATACAGCTCCAGTTCCTCTAAATCCTTTTAACGTGAATACTGAAATGTTCTTGTAACTCTTGTAAATGGCTGCAACAGTTGATTGCAACTTTCAAAAATATATTAGTAGACTGATGTGATGAAGCTTTCATGCTACTAATTTTATCCATGTCTATATTCTTCATATCAAGGGGAGTGAAGACTATGAACTTCACCAGTATAATGTTTGGCTAATCTTACTTCTATAGAAAAGCACTAAAGCTTTCAGAAGGAATCCAGTGATCTTTTTATATTATTTTAAGATAACTGCTTTGGCAGTTTAGATTATGTATTATTAATTTTATTGTAGTTTTTTTCTTTGATTGTTGCGAGCCGCCCAGAGTTGTTAAGAGTTGGATGTCATACAAGTTAAATAAATAATAACAACTGACTTTCTAACCTATTTTACACAATGTTCCTCACCTTTGAAAGAGCTGCCTCCACCACAAACATGCATAAAATCATCACACAATTTCACTGAAATATGTCAGTTGATCTCTTTCATATTATACATGCTAACAACAGAGAGCTGCTTATTCTAGTAAAGTTGATATAAAAATGTGGGTTCAGAAAACATTTTTTAAGTTTGGCAGATAGCAACACAAAGTTGCAGAATATAACATTCAACAATGGAAGAGAAAAATGGTGAGCTGAGCACATGGCTGCCTCATTGTGTTACAGATTACTTACAATTTCAGGCAGCCCACACTCTTAGCTTTATGAGATTATGTTACAGTAATTGTTCAGAATATTCCATCATCTGCTAGGGTAAAAATAAGCTGGTATCACCTTGATCCATAGAAGAAGAATGGTCTAATTTATGATGGTGAGGTAAATGAAAGCTGCAGAATCACTGCTAGTTTCCTTCAAACTGAGCTTGATGCGTGGTGACTTCATGGATACAGTCATATATTTTCCCTTAACAACCATATAGAAGGCTTTGTCACTACTTTCTGGGATGCTTTTTCAGCTTCCCAATCTAGCCTACAGCCTTGATATTCCCAAGAGATCCCTCTTCCAAATACTAATCGGGTCCGATCCTGCTTAGTTTCCAAGCCTGTCAATCAGGAGCTGCTTCTTACTGAGAAGCCACAGCACAGTATTTTTTCAATTGCCAATGAACTGAGTAAATTGAACCATCTGTGCTTGAAGTAAAAAAAAAAAATCTTTCAAAAGAAAGGTCCTCATTCAGTTTGCTGTTTTTTACTGTCACATGGATCTAAGCCAGGCCCATCTCTTAAGTGCATTAATGGCTGTTGCACTATAAGAAAAAATCAGGCACATTTTGGAAGGCTGAGTTGTATCATTGCCAATTTTAGTACTCACACATTAAGAGCTAAACTAACACTGATCATCCACTCACTCTCAAATATATGCATGATACAATCTATCTAAAAACATTAACATCCTTAACTTGATGAGTTCAAATTGGTATCTTACACACATAGCTGCAAAACGCACAATAACATAATGCAAACATTTTTCCTCTAATTTCTTAGCTACTGAGGACAGGTCCATCACAAAATATATACATACTTTCCCCAGAGGAAAAAAAATTCCGATGTTTTGTGAAAGCTATTTCTGATTGTGAAAGATGATTAAGAATTTAGAATTCTTAAAGAATTCAGAAAACTATTTTGCATCTTCTACGTATATAGCTAATGAACAGTTTTTCCAACAGGAATATTTTTATAAAAATTCTTCTGGAGAAAAAAAGTATTAAGACTGAACTAACAGTTCCAATTCTACTTGGTTTCATTTCTATGTCTTTCCAAGAAGCATTTTTTTCCTGGACTAGAACCTGTTGTTGGGTTACACTCCTATCACCTTGGTGGATCTACTGGTTGGAGCAACTGCAAGCTACCTGCACTGCAATTATCTATAATGACGTCAGTGGAACTCCAGGGTAGTGTCAAACAGCATGAAGTTGCAACTATGCAGGGTAGCGTGGAAGGGGAGTCAGTATCAAACTGGAGGTGCTGAGATCTTGAAAATGTCCGTGGTTGATGTCAAACCTGGCTGGAGCTATTCCTACATCTTACATCAGTCCATAAACATTAAAGTTAAGAATTAGGGAAGAGGGAAGACTTATGAACTTGTTCTTTCCCCATCCCTGGTGTTCTCATATGACAGACACTTATGTTAGGTGACTCCATTACGACAGGCAATTACAACAATGATCACTTCTCCCCCCACCAAAAAAGAGAAGAAAATATTTTGCTCCAACCCATTATATGCAATGTGGTATTTCCAATCAGCTTTTAATAAACAAAAGCTGGGATAGGAAGTACATATTTGTATTCATTTGTGCTAGCAGTTTTAATTATATTTCAGGGAAAAAATGAAGGAAGAATATTCTTAAAAATTATATTTTATTACATTTAACTGGGATTTTAAAGGAAAAAATGGAAAAGCTAAGCATGTTTTAAACAACTATTTTCCAACGTGATCAAAAATAATGTTAGAATATATATAAAATGACCACCATCTTTTGCATATAACTCATTTTTCTGCAGAATAAGCAATCATGTACCAAACTGATTAAACACTGATTAAAACCAAGTCATTTCCTATGTTAATTATCTAACCTTGTGGTCCATATTGGCTCATCTGAGTTCCATAAGTACCACTTGAATTACTTTGTGGAAAGCTCCCAATTCCAGAATGCATTTGACCTCCAGGTGAAGGATGTGGTGACATAGAAGGCCCAGTCTGCTGAGGTGCATATTGTGACAATTGAGGGTTTCTTTGAATGCCTGTCATAAAACCTAAAGTTAAACAGACATGACAGAGGGAAAAATTAGAAACCTCCATATTAATGACTCAAGTTAAGGTTAATATTGAACACTGCCAGTACTTTCTTTTGTATCACGTGTCATTATCTATAAAGAGCTGCAGCATGAATTATAGAAGTATTCAAACCTTGGAGTCCCAAGTAACTAAACATGACGTTATAAATACAGTTGTAATGATATGGTTTGGACTTTATCACATTCACACAAATAAGACAACATTATACAAAGATGATTAATAAATATTAAAATAAAATTAGATGAGAAGACAGGAATTTCCAAATATATTTAATAGCAATTGTCGAAGTGTACTTTTTGCAAATCCCTTCTAATCTATATGAGGAATATGACAGTCTTTCAGAATACGATGCTATACACATGCCTATAATTCCTCCAGCATCCGTTGTTCATTTTCTGCCTCTGTAACACAAAAGGCTGCCATTATTGCCCTATTCTCTGTTTGAGGAGTTGTGTCCACTGCTATTACCAGAAAACACTTATCTGCTTCAGGAATGCTCAGGGTATGATTAAAGGGGGAATCCAAACTGTACATTAACAATTCATATAGAGAAGATCATGGTTTTACTACCTCTAATGGGTCTGTTAATCTGTGCATCATGTCACCACTACTAGCTCTGCCTGCTTCTGTCCCCCCACCATAACACAAGACCAGTGCAGATCCCAGCTCAAAAAAGATGCTCACCCCTGCTTTAAATGTAATGCAACTAGAAGCAAAAAACATCCAAGGATCTTTGATTAATGTTATGGACATTAATTTACATTTTAGTAAAATACTGTAATTTACCATAGACAAAAATATACACACACAGTTTTCCTCAACTCTGAAAATACTTTTGGCCACAAGAGTTCAGTCTATCACGCATCAAATGCAGTGCATACAAACATCCTGGCCTGGCAGAGCCAAAATTTTAAAATATCACAGTACTTAAATAAGATATATTCTGGCTGCTACTTCTTATAGCCTTTATGATTGGGGTGATATATTGTCAACAGCACCAAAATTTTGCATTTGGTCTGTTGCCTCCATCTCAGTATTGATTTTATTTACTTTATTCCTGAATTTATACTCCACTTTTATGTCTCTCTGTACCTTCAAGGTGGCTTACACAAATTTTAAAAAATACCACACATAAAATATAACTGTAAAAGCAATATAATTAAAATCAAAAACAAAATTTAAAACCAACATCCATATAATAGCATTGAAATAAATAGCAATTAAAAGCTTCATGAAAGAGACGTGCTGTTGCTACTTTCCTAAATACAGGGAAAAAAGGGGCCAAACATACCACCTTGGGGAGTGTGTTCCACAGCCTGGAAGCCTTAAGGAGAAGCCATCTTCCCTGTACCTGACAGATGAACTCTTGGTGGTGAAGTGTTCATCAAACCAGTCATGTTCATGCTGGGAGAGTCAGACCCTCAGGTAGTCAGGTCCTAAGCCATTTAGGGCTTTAAAGATCAATAGTAACACCTTAAATAATGCCCAGAAGGTGCCTGGCAGCCAATGCAGATCTTTCAGTACAGGCACTGAATGAGGTATATGCACTGATTGTCAGTCTAGCCTCCACATTTTGCAATAATTGTTATTCCCAAAGCATTATCAAGTATAGCCTCATATTATGCATGTTGCGTTAGTCAAAACAGATTGTAAGCAAGGCATGGAGAAATGTCACTAAACCTGACTAACTCAAAAAGCATTTCAGTTCACCAGCCATAGTTTTGCAAACATATTTATTTATTTTATTTAATCAATCAATTTATACAGCCACCCATCTCATGAATGTGACTCTGCTCGGCTAACAACTGTAACAATACAAGAAAATAAAAGAAAAAAAATTAGTAAAGGATAAAAACCTACAATGGTCACAGAGGATAAACCTAGATGAAACAATTGACAAACCTTTTAATCCACAGACCCTGGAGCATGTCCAGGTCCATCCAACTTTATGAAAAGCCAGCAAGGTCAGGACCAATCTAATCTTGGAGGGTATGGTGTTCTAGAAGGCAGGCTCTGTTCCTTGCCTGCCAATCCAGTAACAGATGGGGGTCAAAAAGCACTCCCAAACTGTGAACCTGCTCTTTCTGGAAAGTGCAATCCCATCTAAAACAGATTTCAGCTCAAGTCTTACCAATATTATCTTTGGCTTGCCTGGATTTAATTTCAGTTTCTTCTCCTTGATCCAGCCCACTGTAAGATTAGGCAATGTTCAAGAATACTGATTACTTCTTCGGGGCTGGATGAAACAGACCTGTACAGTTGGGTGCCATCAGGATATTGATGCAATCCCATTCCAAAGCTCTAAATGAACACTCTTAGCTTTTACATATAGAAGTTAAACATCATAGAAGACAAGAGAGAATTCTGTGGGACACCACTTGTCAATGATACAAGTGTCAAACTATAGAGCCCCAGGACCATTTTTTAGGTACACCTTAGTCACCAGATGACTAAGAAAGGTATCATATTTGATTGTATTAAAAAGCTGCTGAGAGATCCTGGAGAGCTAGCAGTCATACTACCAAAATCTACATCAGGGTGTGACCAAAGCTGCCTCAGTACTAGCTACCACTTTCTCAATCACCATATCCAAGAATAGAATTATTTAAGACTAGTCAAGCAGGACCTTCTTTTTTAAAGCAGAAGTCTTATAACTTCCTTCTTTAAAGCAGGCAAGAACACATCTGACACTCAAGGAGACACTGAACACTTCCCTCAATGATGAGAGGGTCAGGCTAAAGTCTGGCAAATTTAATCAGCCTGGAAAGGCAAAGGTGGAGCAACCAGAAAGGTGGCCTTTAGCTCTCCACATATTCTGCCCATGTCCTCAAGAAATACAAGCTGAAAAGAATTCCATATGAACAGGATAAGCAATTATCAAGGGTTATTGCCCCATAACGTGCCTCAATACTGGAAACCAAATTGATGCAAATCTAATCAACTTCATTTGCAAAGAATGATGAAAATTTTTCACAACATATCTCCAGCGTTTCTGGATTCTGTCCTCCAATAACTAGATGGAGATGCCATATGGTATGAAAAAGCATTACTGTCCTGTTCACTGCAGACACAACAGAGATCAAGAAATTTGCCCTGTTTAACTGCTGTCACTGGCACTGAGTAGGATTTCAGGTAAGTTGCTTAAAATACCTCACTCCATGTTTGATTTAATCCCTCCGGAGAATTCCTCCATTTGCACTCCAGCCCTTTCCTTACCAATTTCATTGCGCTAAGCTTTCTGGTACATCAAAATGCTACTTGAGATCTGCTATAACTAATTGTGCTTAGGAGCAACAGTGCCAACTGCTAGGGCCATCTCTGTATTCCATAGATCAGTCTGGTCTTCAACAGAACTGCTAACAGAAAAGGGGGAAATTCCCCAAGCATATTCAGGAAAACATTTAGAGTCATCATGTGCCTGAATCAGACCATTTTCACTCTTCCTCCACCTATACAGAGGCTTAGTCTAGTCTAAAACTGATCAGAAAGTGATCTGTCTATGACAGTAAGGTTACAGAAAGCTCCTCCACTGTCAGATCATTAGTATCAAAGTTTTAATACTACCATCCTAATCCTGGTTTGAGGAAAAACTACTTTTCACATATGTCTTAAACAAGCAACGGGCACTTGAAGAATTAAGCTATGAAAGGAAAATTGTAGAGGTCACTAAAACCATTGTATCCAAAAGCAGGATTATTTTAATTAATGCTTCGGTAATGTTGTGTTTTAATCCTAATAAAGTTATATTTCATCAGATCCGTCAGTATATATAAGTCATTTGTGCATATATAACGTCTTCTCTCAGAGCTCTGCCATTAAGTGCCAAATTTATAAAACAATGGGGGGGGGGGAAGCCAAATGAGAAAGAAATGGAAAATGGAAGTAAAAAAATTCTGAATAATCAAGAGTCCTAATATTTCACATATACTGTACACATACACATTCCTTGCTAAGCAACACTATTTGCAAGAAAGTATTTAAACATAAAAAGCTATTTTGATCTGCCAACTACAGTCACAGCCTCTTACAATTATGACAATATTTAACATGTTTCAGTGACAACTTTTGTTTTCCTACTGAACCTGTTGGCACATGATGACAGTCCTTCTTGGACTAGCAAAATGAAACATGAGGTTGATAAATATATTCTAGCATGCACACTATTATTAAATGTACAGCTATCTGAATTAACAGTAACCAACTCTGAAGAATCTGGTAAATGAGAAGATACTGATAATAGACACCATGTGCTTCAACAGCAATGAGCTTTCACGCAAAGGATCCATTAGGCTCAAATGTTGAAGGCCACTCTGATTATTTAACTAGCTGTCACAGGACAAAAGACAATTCTAAATGCAAGTTCAGATGGATTGGCCTGTTGTGAAATGGGTTCAAACTTTCAAAGGAGTTTATCTCCTCAGACTATAAGGAACGTTAAATGATATTTATCGAAGACAGAATAGATCATTAACAAAACACTATCTTTAAATATTTGCATTAGCAGAGCACTTGCCAGGATAGGTAGAAAGTAGCACTGGATAGGTAGAAGGTATTATAAAACCAACTGGAACAGAATCAAAGAGGCAGTGGAAAATAAAGGCAGGGTGCTCTCTTAACTAGTCCCTAATAACACACCATCAACCACTTCACAAAATGTCAAATTCTGTATTTTAAAAGCAGGGAAGTTGAGGCTACAAATGTCTATGGGAAGAAAAACCAGGTCAGTGCAAACCCTGACTCATCACTTTTAACTTTACCGACATCTCCCCCTGCCCCCCTCCACCTTTGCTTTCCAGTTATTTCATTTTTGCTGGTACAGCAGCCACAGAAATTAAGGATTTTTGGCAAGCAATTTTATTAGCTAACATAAACTTCAAGCTGTTCTAGTGGGCATTTTTGGGCAGTAGTAAACCAATAAAGATTCACTGGGCTACAATAACAAACTTTTTGTTTGGCA